CTCTCATCCATATTGTGTGCACCGTAACCGAGAATGGCATATTCAAACTTCTACACCCTTTATATACCCCCTTTAAACGCCCCCTATATTCCTTATCTCCCTTTGTTGTATCTTCCTACGCTAGGAGAAAGAAATTTCATTCTAATTCGTTCCTCAAACGAAAGAAATTATATTTCTCCTAGTTGTTACATCCTCCACAACAATGACATGGCACACAATGGCATTGGATACGGTGCACCACCCGAGAATCAAAGAACGGGCTTATACTAGAGGCCCAACGACATTGAAACTTTAAGTCTACTTTCAATACTGTCTTTTATATACCCATCTTTAGCGCTTTCGCTTTTCCAACGCCCGTGTCTCAAACATTCTGTCGGGTATACCATTATTGGCAGCTGCCGTGGCTCCTCCAGATCTGAGGCTATGAAGACCATAACGTCTTATGTCAACAACAAAAGGCTTGATAGCTTCTATAAATACTTCTCTCAGTCTTGTATAAGACATCGGGCTGTTCTGCTTTCTCAAAACAAATCCCCGACCACATTTGGTAATATTTCTGAATATAAATTCATTTGAATCATCTTTTATGAAAGCAACTTCCAAATATTTCTCCATCCATTCCACTGGGCATAGTTTTCCCCCAGTCCTTCCAATCACCAACCATGCACCATCTCTGTACATGTCTGTCTTTGATTTCTCAATGAAAAGCATCATATAAGCTTTAGAAATAACGACATCAGAACGTGTAATATACAAAAGCTCAGAAGATCTCAAAAATCCTGCAAACGCCACAATACACATTGTAAGAGTGCGTACAACCTTTAAAGACAAATTATTGTTATGCTCAACTAATTTATGTAAAATGTCTATTGTTATAGGTTCTTTCTTCACAGTTGGCTTAGCTAATTTATTCCAATTTATTTACAGCCCATTTATTCCAGGCTTTAAACCCGTTGGTGTATTTCGTATTGGTAGATTCTGCTCTTGCGCTACTCAAAATGTCCGGAATCTGACTTGCAAGCACCTTCACACTCTCAGGCAAAGCCTTTAACTGCTTCTCATAAACCGACTCAAATATACCTGTAAACAAACATATGCGCATTAAAATACCAAGCGAAGAGCTTACATATTGAAATGCAAATCATGCTCCCCGAAAATGCCTCTAGACAACCGGCTCGTCACATAAGCAGACTTGTTTCTCGGAAGGTATATACATTCTGTCACTTCTGGAATAAACTCTCCCTTGGGACACAACAGGGGCCAGTAACTAGCAGAGTACCAGGCCGGTACTATCAGTGTCCCCTTGGCTTTACATAATCTCATATGTGAAAGTACTCTTGCAACAAGATACACCGGTGGAACTAACCAATTGTTCACATCTCCCCAGTGTACAGTAAACGCATCAACACCTTCACATCCTGGATTCCAATATCTGGAATAAAACCTATCTACCTTCTTATTGTAATACGAAGCAAATCTATCCACTTCATATTCCCCACACACACGCTCTAGATGCTGAAACACATGTGCACTCACACCCCAATCATCATTATTTACAATCCGACTGATATAATCAGCTCGTTCATTCTCTGTCCTGGGAATCCACTGCATTTCGAAATGAATGTGATTGGCTAAACACAATCTAAATATCTCCATGGCAATGCTTTGTAAGTCAGTCTTCATGCTCCCTTTAGCAACAATACACTCAACATTTGAATTGTCCGTGAACCATTTCACCCTCTGTGCAGATCACATTGGCGCTAAGCTCTGCAAAACAAGATTTACAGCTTGCAATTCTCGCCATGTCGAACTCCTCTGTGTCTCAACCACTGACCACTGCCCATGCGCCTGCTGCTGTCCATACTGCACACAATAACCACCGTAACCATGGCTACTGGCATCACTATAGACAATCCTGGTCACAACAGAAGTTTCTGACAAATAACAATTCTTGTGCTTATCAATATCACTCAACCAAAACTGCAACTGCTCTATGCAGTCACTAGACAAATGTACAGTCTGATTCCATGAATCAACATTCACAGTTTGTTTAGACATGGCTCTCGTCATCAACTGACAAACAGACCCAGTCACCAGCTTCATCGATATAATCTGTCCAATCACAGACGCTAACACTCTCGCGGGAACTGACCTTACATTTAAAAGGTTAAGAATACACTTCTTAACTTTATCAATTCTCCTATCAGGAATAGATAACCTCATAACAGTAGTGTCAATGATAATACCGAGCCATTCCAAGACTTGTACAGGTTCCCACAAACTCTTTTCTACCTTAGGTACAAAACCTGAGCGAATCAAATCGTTCTTCTGTGATTGACCTGATTCAAAAGCTAACTGCTTACTCATACCGGATATGATGCCGTCATCTAAAAACGTCACAACTCTGTGTCCTTCAAAACGCCAATATTTAACCAACTGTCTGGTAACCTTGGTGAATACATATGGAGCAGTGGAAAGGCCAAATGGCAACACCAGAAATTTGTAATAAACTTTGTTCACACCTTCGCCCCAAGCAAAACCAAGAAATTCTGTATGTTTATAAAAAATGTCAATATGGTGGTAGGCAGAGTGAATGTCAAACTTTAAAAGCCAGTCATACTTATCTATAAACAACATAACTGTTCTCCAGTCTTCGTATTTCACAGATTCCTTCCATAAATGCTTATTCACCAAAGATAAATCTAAAATCAAACGTCGTTTACCGGAAGACTGCGTTGACACACTTAAAGGGTTAACCACTCTTGGTTTACAACAACAAACTGTCACTAGGCCTTTCCAAACCAAATCTTGAATTGCTTCATCAACAAACAGACGATTGTTCATCGCGGATCTGTTTTTCCGTATTTCCATAGTATCGGGAAGTGAGTAAAATGGAATTTTGTACCCATTTTCTATAGTGTCTATTACAAATTGAATGGCACCGATATCTTTCCAAAATGAAACATTGGCTTTAAGCCTACCTTTCACAATGATTTCTGCCTGACCACTTTCATATTCATAAAAGTCAGATGTTAATGTACGAACATCATTCTTATAGTCAAGTACATAAGTATCAATATACTCAACTTCAGGCTTTGAAGATGATCTAGATGATGTTTGTTCCGGAACTTGCTTTAGAAGACTGGGCTTGTCCGTACAGCCGGGGGCAATAGCGTCTCCAGTGGTTGAACTCCCCACAGTGAAAGCAGGCGCCTGCCCTTGGGCCCCCGGCCTCGAAAAACCTGACTGCTAGTAGAAGAAGTAGCAGCACGGACATCCTCCCTTTGACTCGCTTGAGTGACTGTGGCTGAAGGTCGCGTGCCAAACGACCTGTAGGGATGAGCACGCGCAAAACGGGAACTCCTGGCTCTGAGCTTCTTAACTGCTTTGTTTTCCGCCCGAGTGATCCGCTTGTCATCGTCCGAGTCTGTGGCCAAATCACGGGAAACATACTGTCTCACAGTTTCCCACCCTCCTTCCGAGGAGTCTTGATCAACTTATTACGTTGCTCCAAACGCTTGATTTCATTGGTTAAAAGCTCATCTGAATAATCCAGTTTCCCCGTACTTTATGCCGAACTGAATCTGATTTAAAGTTTCAAGAGTTTCTTCATTAAATTTAAATTGAATCTTATTACCCTCTCTGTTCCAAGAATAGTCTTTCTCTGCTTTCAACCGTACCAATTCTTTTGATGTTTGCTCAAATTCACGTCGAAAACCTTGCAAACGTTCATCAAGTTCAAGTTTCGAATCGTCCAATCTTTTCAAAATGACATCTAATTTCTCGGATATGGGTCTCTCATCCATGTTGTGTGCACCGTAACCGAGAATGGCATATTCAAACTCCTACACCCTTTATATACCCCCTTTAAACGCCCCCTATATTCATTATCTCCCTTTGTTGTATCTTCCTACATGAGCTGAAGGTGTTGATAGAGATAGGGCCATGCACCGTGGGAGACACAAGTCCGCACAAGTGGGTTTGTTTACATAACGGCTTCCATGTTTTCATATAGAATATCGTAGTAGCTGCGATGGGGCGCCAGTGGACTCTACTACAGTTATCTACTAATTATGGCCGTTCCACGTTGTCAGGGAGGATGTAAGCTCAGGCTCCACACTGATCTTGTATGTGAAAGGTCGCTAAGTCAAGGAGTGGGGAGTCGGCCGACCGTGGCTCCTAAATAACCACATTACATTCATGTACTGGCACACATACATTCAAAGATAAACGCCAGGTTCTATACTCACATAGGTTTACTTAGCCTCCGTGCATCTTTTTACTACAACTACAACACAAGACAGGTGTTCACACGAAGATCATGAAAGAAACTGATTGCACGAAATCGGCGTTTTTGCTCAAAATTCTCAAAATATTTAATTGAGTAATGATTTCCTAAAAATATATGCAGTGGTTAAGGCGTTTGCTCCTCACGCCGAAAGCCTGGGTTCGATTCCCCACATGGGTACAATGCGTGAAGCCCATTTCTGGTGTCCACTGCAGTGATAGTGCTGAAATATTGCTAAAAGCGGCTTAAAACTAAACTCCCACACTCACTGTAGTGTCCTTTTTCAGTGAAAATGTGTGGTTAATCTGTTAGTGAGCAAGCGAGTTTTGTAGATAACAAAAGCTAACACATGGGAACAATCTTTCTTTTCCGGGTTGTAACAATCATTATCCGGATCAGATACTCGAGAAACCATAAACCTTTCACGAGCAGAATGAACAATAAGAATTAAGACGCCTGGATAAACTATAGTATGACAATACGTTCACAGTATATTCTGTCAAATATTTGAGCAATGAAACCACTCTTTTATGTTTGCATGTTAAGTTGCTTGACTGTTGTCCAAAATAGTGTAAAACTTCACTCACGTTCATAATAACCTTTTTTCCAAACTATTTATTCACCTGTTTTCCAACTTTTTATAACATTGCCTACTTTTCCAATTACAAGGGGGCATAATATATGCAGGACGCATGCGTGGAAGGAAGTACGTCACAATGTTACAGCCAATCGAAGAGTGTTATGGCCGCGTGGTCACGTGCCTCGTGTACCTGGCTTCGCTTTGCGGGGACGTCTTCTGGACAGCGTCCATCCTAAATGCACTAGGTAAGAATCTAGCGAGGTTTACATGAACTTTTACACACCGAAACGATACAAAGGTTATTGATAGGAGTTAAACGCCGCTGTGACCTGCATCAAACCCCAACGCACTCACCATGCACTCTGAGAGTCAGACGGCTTAGAAAATACCAAAATACCACCAACGTTGAACTATTGATTGAAGTAAAAAACAAGTTAACAATTGTATCTATTAAACTAGCATGGACACATCTGAGACATATGCCATACAAGAAACATATTTGACTTAATAAATATATATTAATGAACATGCACATTGTTCTTGATGGACAGTAGTTTGGTTTATCCTTGCATTGTGGATAACACAAATAAACACTTTGAAATTTGTGAAAGTCGAATAAATACTCTTCTTTATTACACGCATCAATCATATATTCTGCTTTTACTCATTTGTTTTCTTTTGCAGGAACAAGCTTGAGTATAATACTCGCCATCAACGTTGAGACGGCCATTGTGGTGTCTGCCAGTATCACTGTTATCTACATTATGATTGGTCAGATGATTTCAGTTGCATATACTGACATAGTACAACTAATTCTGATCACCGTGGCCTGGTATGGATAATTTATTTTCATAAGAAAGGCTTTCCCTTACGCCTTAGTGTTCACAAACCAGTATATCACCACCGGTTTGTGTTTTTTACCTCAACAATCGAGTGCTTTGGATCTAGGAATAATGTTGATTGAAAAAGTGTAGTCATTTACCTGATAAAGGAGTAATACTATACTGTGAAGCGTCATGCTCCTCAAAATAAAGAAGCTGGTGTCCATAAGATATTTCAGTGATATTGCAGGTGCTTGCAATTCCATTCGTGGTGACGGACGATCGTGTGGGTGACGTCAGCACAACGTCAGAAACGTGGCTTGGCTCCCTGGATGGCCGACATGCTGTGGCCTGGGTTGACCTTGCCCTTGCTATGGTACGTACAACATGTATACTATTGTACCGTATTTGGGCGTTTGTGTCAAGATGCAGCTCTGACAAGAAAAAACAACCCCACGAAGCAAACAGTTTACTTGTATAGCGTCGAACCGAAACATTGATGCAGGTAGAGATTAAGTGTTTTTGCAGGATCGATGCTCATGCTGTTGATCACTGAATTCTATGGTCCGGAACCGATTATTTACAGACCGCCGCCATATAGCTGGAATATTGCTGAGAGCGGCGTAAAACTAAACTCACTCAGTCCTGTAGGGCAGTTACATCAAATCGATATTGATCAACTCTTGATAGGGATACATACTTAATATATTACTTACATATTCATCTATATACATAAACTTATAGGTGTCTATATAATCATAACTGACTCCATCAAAAGGTGAGACGTTATATTATTCCGTTATGTTTACTCGACCCGGAATGTGTGAACATGTCATAACTGTCAGTGGTTATTTCCCCTAAATTTTTATGAACAATTAATATTATTGTCTGTTCCTCATACCCTACCATTTTGCAATATTTTGCAGGCAGTGTTGCAATATCTTTGCTTTTCTTCGCGGTTTCTTAATGAATCTGATTCGAGATCTGCAAATCATTACACGTCCGATATTATTTATGCATCTTTCATAAGAGCAAGTATCATGATAAGTTAGTCTCAACTGATAATGCTGATGACGCAATAGGCGAACATGATCTAGAGTGCGTTACGACTTATTACATTTCTTAAATTCGTGGCATGGAATATGCAAGTAGATAAAAGTTTAACAGTCTTGTTAAAATCATCTGTAATTTATTGTCGACATTTCTACCATTTAGTTTGTGACAGAAATATCCCTTAATGCATTTTCTCGGAGTCCATTACACGGTGGTCATGTAAGGACGTGATAGGATCCTTCAACTAAGCAATATTTACAGACTCCATGTCATTTCTGTCCGTGTCAATGGCAACCTCAGGATGAACAAATTAGATGGCAGTAAGCATTTTGGATGTACATGTCTTTCCTGGTCCGTTTAAAGCGGTTAAAAATATCACTCTTGTCTACATTTTCCTGCATCCAAATGTATCAATATCCACATTTCTATTCATGATGCCAAGTTAAAACAATTTCTGAGGAATCTTGATGATGGTATATTAAGTATTTTAAGCAGCCTTTTACCAAAATAACTTAAAAGCATACAACTGTGTAAAAACTCAATCTTAAAATACAATTGGGCATATTTTGGTCTAAATTTGTGAGAAGAAAACATAAGCTGGTGATTCGTCATTGTATTCCTTGGTATTCATTGTGAGTGACTGCAATATGACAGCCCACAGTCATGATCATACATGTATTTCTACATATTTGCTATAAAAGACCATTGCATCTCCTGTGTTGCAGATATTCGGCACCATTCCCTGGCAATCGTACTTCCAGCGTGTGTTGTCAGTCCGGAGTGTAAAACAGGCCCTGGTGCTCTCTGTTCTGGCCGGGATGGGTGCTCTGATCCTAGCTGTTCCCCCATTCCTTATCGGTGCTCTCAGCACAGCTGCCGGTATGAACACTATACACGTAAAGAATCGGAGCGAAATAGCCTTCAGCAACACACTCCTGTCGTGAAACACGACCAAAGATTGGGTGGTCAGACTCGCTGACTTAGTTGACACTTGTCATGAGGTCCCAGTTGCGTAGAACGATGCTCATGATGTCAATCACCGAATTGTCAGCTGTAGACCCGATCATTTACAGGCCGCCGTCACATAGCTGGAAAACCGCTGCATGTACAGTTGAACAACAAACACACAAACAAACAAACAAACGAAACAATAAACCTTGCTCGAAAATTCCTAAAAAATGCGGACAGTACCCGTTGTTGAATTTGAATATTTTCAAAAATTGTTAAAATATGTTACATATGAGATTTATCCCTGCCGACCTTCTTGCATATATTTCAGATTGGTCCAACTCAAGTCTGACCGGTGGCCTTGACACTGCGAGTGCCAACATGAGCAGCATGATTCTGCCCCTTGTTCTCAAAGAGTTCACGCCAGATGCAGTGTCCATCATAGGTGAGTGAGTGAGTGAGTTTAGTTTTACGCCGCACTCAGCAATATTCCAGCTATATGGCGGCGGTCTGTACATAATCGAGTCTGGACCAGACAATCCAGTGATCAACAGCATGAGCATCGATCTGCGCAATTGGGAACCGATGACATGTGTCAACGAAGGCAGCGAAACTGACCACCCGATCCCGTTAGTCGGCCCTTACGACAAGATAGTCGCCTTTTTATGGCAAGCACATGGGTTGCTGAAGACCTATTCTACCCCGGATCTTCACGGGTCCCATCATAGGTACAAACATCCAAACAGCGTGTAGAATACCAACTAAACGGCCGTTCTGGAAGGATATATGTTTAGAAAAAATATGGCAGAAATATTTATTCTTTGTATATGGAGGGGACTTCCGCAGATACATTAATTCAGATATGGTGCGCGCGTGTTTGTGTGTGCGTGAATGTGTGTATGTTACAAAAAAATTATAATTTCAAAGAAAATCCAATAACTTCATGGTTTCGTTTCCGAAAGTCTAAAACTAAAAGGTTATTGCATCGTCATGAATATGTATTGTTGATAGCTTACGTCATTCACTTCTAAAATGGGTAACGATGTAATTGATCTGTGCACAAGAACAGCAATATTGGTGTGTCGTTTTGATGCGAACGTTAATTTGTTGTTTCAGTTGTTTATTTAAATTTTAGTGGGATATTTTATGTGTTCATAATGTTTCGTTAAGGTCTTGGTGCAATCCCAACTGCAATGCTGTAATTATTTGTAACTAGCCTATAAACTGCTTGATACAGTCTGTATTTGCTGGTTCTGGTAGTTTCTATGTGGTGGTTTATGTATTAATGTGTTTTGATCAGGTCTTGGGGCAATCTCAGCAGCAGTCATGCCAGTCATAAACTGCTTCATCCTGCGGTCCGGCTCCATGTTCACCCACAACGTCTACAGAACAGCGATCAGGACACAGGTTAATTGTTAACTGACTTCCCTATGCTATTGCAGTCCTAGTCCCCATTGTGCTGTGCAAACATCTCCTCACGCTTGTATATATATATATATATATACATGCCTCTCTATCCTTATTCTGCTCATCACTTGTTTGATAACGGTGGTAGATTCAACACCGAAACGTCGCTATCACTGTAAAGAAGTTGTTCATCCATAGTTATCCTTCCTTACTGCTCTAACTTCTAAATGCCTCTCAAAGAAGTTACAGGAAGAAAAGACGAAGTATCTTAGATGTGAAAACCTATGGAATTCAATCTCAGTTGTAACTGTCCCTGTGTTGAGTAGGTGACGCATGTTCTAAATAATCAGGGGTTGAATGAATACGAAGGAATAATTCCAATATGGATTCCTTGGTTTATTTCAATGCTTTGGATTGTAACTATATATAGTTTATTGGGCATAAGTATGGAATAATACATCGTTAGGATATAAATATTCAAACTTGTGGCGTCCGTACCTAGTGTGTGGTTTGGCATTTCTGCAAAGAATAATAGACGCACTTAAATATGCAAAATATATTAACATTTTACAAGGACGTGGTTATTTGAACAGCTGTTTTATCGTAACCTGTAACTCGATATACTGAACTGTATAAACACATCCTGATCAGATCAAGTGTAATGAATCCATCAGTAATTACAAAAGTATTCACAAATCTTTAAACCCGCGAAGATCCAATTTAGAATTGATCTTCAATAACCCATGCTTGTCGTAAAAGGCGACTACTGACTAACGATATCGGACGGTCAGGCTCGCTGACTTGGTTGACACATGTCATCGTATCCCGTTCGCGTAGATCGATGCTCATGCTGTTGATCACTGAATTGTATGGTCCAGACTCGATTATTTACAGACCGCCGCCATATAGCTGGAATATTGCTGAGTGCGGAGTAAAACTAAACTCACTCACAAATCTTTAATCCCTCCATGTTCCGATTCATTTCAGGCATCAGAACAAGAGTTGATGTGGATACAAAGAACATCAATCTTGATGATCGGAATAATAGCCACCGTACTATCTATAATCGTTAGGACAGTGTGGGGACTGTTTGTCTTGGCCGCGGACAATGTGTTCGTCATCGTGTTACCTCAGCTGCATGCGCACTCTTCCTCCCAGCAACGAATGGATATGGCGGAATTGTGGGATTTGCTCTTGGCACTGTTTTGAGGATCGGTGCTGGTGAAAGCTTTTTGGATCTCCCTCCATTTATTTTCTACCCATTTTATGACCATGATGTGCCAGAACAACTGTTTCCATTCAGGACATTCGCCTTTGTTGTATTGTTACTTGGTTTGATAATAGTTTCTTACATGATGAAGTTCTTGTTCGAAAGGGAAATTCTTCATCCGAAGTATGATTTTTCTCGGAGCTCTTGAAATCAGGATCTGCGGACATAACCCTCAAAATACACTGACAAAAATAATGCGTTGAGCTTTGACAATGTACATACGGCTGAGGGATACTCTACAACAGGGATAGGTCACTCGCTTGCTTTCTTTACCATTTGTACTAATTAACGTGTGCCTCGTCATGCTCCAACGCACACAGTGACTTGGTTCGGTCCCAGCGCAACTTCGGCTGCGTTTAACAGTACTTCAGCCAGTGTATTGTATAGGTCGGAATTTTACAATGAATGAATGAATGAATTAAGAGCAAGAATTTTATGTGAATGAATGAAAGAAATTAAGAAAAAGAACAAAAGAAAAAGAACATATGTGAATGAATGAAAGAATAAATGATACACCACGGCCATCCCTCCCCAAACATGTTAAAGAACGCAAAACTATCGGTAGAACACATGTTAACATCAGCTGTCCTTTTAAAAAAAAATCTACTTTGAGACATTTTTTTACATTAGTAACTAATTCAGATATCTTATTGCATGTGTGGAATGACATGGGCATTGACAGAATGTTAACTGACACTGTCACAGACCCCTCAAGAACAGAAAGTTTAGAACTATCACAAAGCCTTGCAAACACCTTTCCAGTTTTGTCAAATACTAAGATCAACAAGAAAGAAAGAAGTTTTAGAACTATAACACTCAAGCATCACAAGCACCAATGGCGTATCAGAACAGATCGGCGATATGTCATATTTTTCACACACCTCAAATACACACTAACAAAAAAATAAAATAAAACTATCACTATTACTTGCAAAACCTTTCACCTGATGGTATATTCCCCTCATAAAAATTAAAGGTGTATGTGAAAGATGTTTTAGAACAATAACTAGAAACACTCAAACAACGCCCTGTAGTATTTCAATGGCAGATCGGCGATATGTCATATTTTTCACACACCTCAAATACACACTAACAAATTTTTTTAAATTATAAAACTATTACTATTACTTGCAAACACCTTTCACCTGATGGTATATTCCCCTCATAAAAATTGAAGGTGTATGTGAAAGATGTTTTTGAACACTAACTAGAAACACTCAAACAACGCCCTGTAGTATTTCAATGGCAGATCGGCGATATGTCATATTTTTACACACCTCAAATACACACTAACAATTTTTTAAAAATTATAAAACTATCACTATTACTTGCAAACACCTTTCACCTGATGGTATATTCCCCTCATAAAAATTGAAGGTGTATGTGAAAGATGTTTTTGAACACTAACTAGAAACACTCAAACAACGCCCTGTAGTATTTCAATGGCAGATCGGCGATATGTCATATTTTTCACACACCTCAAATACACCCTAACAAATTTTTTTTAGTTATAAAAATATCACTATTACTTGCAAACACCTTTTAACTAAAGGTATATTTCCTCTCTAAAAATTAAACGAATATGTGAAAGAAGTTTTAGCGATATAATTTAGTCTTTCTTCGCTGTGTACTGAGAATTGAAGCCAGTGAGCTACAACATGCCCACTTGAAACTTTACTACAAAGCTACTGTACTTATACTGACACTAATAACAAGTATTTGACTTAAAATGAAGTGACAGAATAGGTAACTTATCTTCTACATGTAGGTTTTCAGTTGTCACAACACTCAGCGTATGTAATCAGCTGTTGAAAATAAACCGGGCTCAATCTTAAAACTACGCTGCCGCCATATTGGCTGCACTGGTCACGTGACGAGCCGAGGCATAGCTTAGAGCTTCCGAGGAGTGACCACTCCCCTTATAGAGTCTCCTGGCGAAGTTCAACGCAATATCGTTCTATTTTCAACATCTTCACGGCATGCTGGTGTTTATTTGGTAAGTACGTCCTTCATGTACAATGAAAACGTAGGAATGTTGTTTACATCTAGCAGGTCAATGTAGCAAGAAACTCCGAATTAGGGCTCATGTTTTATCTCACAAGGGTACCGGTATGTCACATACATGTTTCTCAAAATTTAGTGGAAGCCCGTGTTTTCCATAAACTTGTTTTGTTATTTTTCAAAATATTTGCATGCATATATTTAGCATTTTATTATATAATCGAATAAGATTTCCTTTCGTACCC